GAAAGCAGTATGGAGATTTCTTGGAAAGCTGGGAATGGAGCCACCATTTGACCCAGCTATTCCCCTTCTCGGTCTATTCCCTACAGACCTAAAAAGAGCATGCTACAGGGACACTGCTACATCGATGTTCATAGCAGCACAATTCACAATAGCAAGACTGTGGAACCAACCTAGATGTCCTTCAATAGATGAATGGATAAAAAAAATGTGGCATTTATACACAATGGAGTATTACTCTGCATTAAAAAATGACAAAATCATAGAATTTACAGGGAAATGGATGGCATTAGAGCAGATTATGCTAAGTGAAGCTAGCCAATCCCTAAAAAACAAATGCCAAATGTCTTCTTTGATATAAGGAGAGTAACTAAGAACAGAGTAGGGTCGAAGAGCATGAGAAGAAGATTAACATTAAACAGGGACGAGAGGTGGGAGGGAAAGGGAGAGAGAAGGGAAATTGCATGGAAATGGAAGGAGACCCTCAGAGTTATACAAAAGTACATACAAGAGGAAGTGAGGGGAAAGGGAAAAATAATACAAGGGGGACAAATGAATGTCAGTAGAGGGGGCAGAGAGAGAAGAGGGGAGGGGAGGGGAGGGGAGGGGGGATAGTAGAGGATAGGAAAGGCAGCAGAACACAACAGACACTAGTATGGCAATATGTAAATCAATGGATGTGTAACTGATGTGATTCTGCAATCTGTATATGGGGTAAAAATGGGAGCTCATAACCCACTTGAATCAAAGTGTGAAATATGATATATCAAGAACTATGTAATGTTTTGAACAGCCAAAAGTAAAAAATTAAAAAAAAAAAAGAGTATTGGCGAGGGCTGGCATATTATAGGACAGGAATCTATAGAAACCTCTAAAATTCCCCAACTTGTGCGCAAAGTGTGACAGTGGTGGTGGGACAGTAGTTAGAAGCTGGTAATAAACAACATGGATGGCTAAGAGAGATGAGAGGGAACTGTGATCAGCCCAGTCACATTCCAGAGAAGATGACTGAGTGTCCCCAAAGTGTCCATTTTGATTAAAGTCTTGACCCTTAGGGTGGCACTACTGGGAGGTGGTGGAATCCTTGGGAGGTAGAGCCTAGTGGAGGGTCCTTGGGTCTCTGGATGCATGCATGTTCTCATAAAATAATTCTCAAGCAACCCCTGTGTCCTTGAGAGGTTTGGTGTAAGAAGCAAGCCTGGTCCCTCCTAGCCTCTCTGTTTACTAACTGGAGATGTGACCACTTGCCCCACTGTTGCCATCCACCATCCACTATCCACAAACCACCATCTCTCGTCCACTATTCACCATGAGGCCCTCACCAGAACGGAGCACATGCAAGGACTATGACCTTGAAATTGGTGAGCTAAGTAAACAAACCTCTTCTCCTTACCAAGTGGCTCGGCTTGTGTATTTTGTTATGGTAATCAAAACTGACTAACACATCACCTTCAGATATCTGCTTTCTTCAATCCTGCTATCAAATGGTATACTGCTTGGAAACTTTCTACGATCATTTAATAATTCATTTTAATTTTTGATCTGACTCTTGTTTGATTCATAAGATGCCTTTCCTATAGCTCCTAAAAGATGGATGGCTTTGAATGGTTCTTTGCAACTCTTTGGGAAGCAGCAATGGTCCAGGGCCCCAGGGTACCCTTTCAATCTTGCGTGCTACCAACTTAATGCTTAGAAGTTTGTCACTGTACTTAAAGAAAAAAAAAAACTTTTCTTTTTGATTTCACCCTTTTTGGTAAAAGAGGATGCCTTTACCCCTTTGGCAAGCTTCACAGGGGACAGAAACAGCAGCCTCCAAGGCACTGGAAAATTCTGTGGTCTTTACCTTTTCTTTCTTGGGTTTCAAGGGTGCCCAGACACTTCAAAAGGAGTAATAATGACTTCCAGTCAGAAAACCACTGGGAAGAGAGAAACTTTTATGAGAAGGTTTTATGTCTTAATGACATCTGAGGCCAGTGGGCAGGATTAAGAATGGACAAGACAAACTGCTGGGTACATTGGTTTGTCGTGCACTTCACATTTCAATAGATTTCAGGTTTGTAACTTAAAACATGCAAAAGAGAATATAACTTTAAAAAATAATGGGGGAAAAAGGACTAGTTTCTCCCCTTCCCCCTCAGATTAGCGTGATAAAATTTTACAAAACTGTAAAATAGCTGAGTATAATGAGAAGTAGTGAGGTGAGAGCAGGGATACCAAGTTCCTTATTTTCCCAAAAAGAGAAGAGTCTTTTTTCTTTTTTTTTGCAGTGTGGGGGATTAAACCTGGGGTCTTTTACATGCCAGGCAAATGATACCACTAGGCTATACTCCTATTCCAAAAAGAGAGTTAAAATTTGGTAATTTTGTACTTTTGATAATACAGTAGTCCCCCGCTTATCAGGTTGCTTTCCATGGTTTCAGTTACCTGAGGTCAGCTCAGTTCAAAAATATTAAATGGGAAATTTCAGCAACAAACAATTGACAAGTTATAAACTGTACATTATTCTGAGTAGCATAATGAAATCTGGTCCATCCTGCCCAGGATGTGAACCATCCCTCTGTCCAACATATCCATGCTGTGTATGCTGCCTTCCCGTTAGTTACTTAGTAACCATCTTGGCTATCAGATCCACTGTCATAGTATCAATGATTGTGTTCAATGACCCTTATTTTACTTAATAATGACCCCCAAAGCATAACAAGAGTGATGTTGGAAATTCAGATATGCCAAAGATAAGCCATGGAGTGCTTCCTTTAAGCAAAAAGGGAAAGTATAATAAGACAGTTTGAGGGAGGGAGGAAAGAAGGAGAGAGAGAAAGACAGAGACCAAATTCATGTAACTTATTACTGTATATTGTTGTAATCATTCTATTTTATTTGTAATTATTGTTGTTAATTCTTACTGTGCCTAATTAAAAAAACTTTATCATAGTTATGTGTGTATAAAAAAATACAGGGGGCTGGGATTGTGGCTCAGTGGTAGTGTGCTTGCCTAGCATGCACACTAGAGGCACTGGGTTCGATTCTCAGCACCACATACAAATAAATAAAATAAAGGTCCATCAACAACTAATTAAAAAAAAAAGAAAGAAAGAAAAGACAGAGTACACATAGGGTTTTGTACTATTCACAGCCTCAGGGATCTAGTGGGTTCTTAGAACATATCCTTGGCAGATATTGGGCGAACTACTGTAGAGCATTTTACATATATTTGTTCAAAGATTTTTATAAAAAAATTAATTTCCATGGAAGTAAAAGTTCAAACAATTAAGGAAAGTCCAAATGAAAGCAACTTATGCAATTATTGGTACAGTATAATCACATTCTTTAAACCATTTATATTTTTACTGTTTTAAAAAATTGGTTTACTTTATCAAGTACTGAGATATATAGTAAGTTATTATATTATGATTGAGGTTTATTTATTTCTCCTTTTAATTTTGACATTTTCTGCTTTATATATTTTGGGGTTATGTTTCACAAAATGCTTCTCAAATTCAGAATTGTTATATCTTTCTGGTGGACTCATATCAGGAAATATCACTCTTGTTTCTAGTAATCCCTTCTCTCTTAACATTGCTTTTGGGTGGTATTAATATAACACCATCAACTTTCTTTTAATTAGTTCTTGCATTAATTTTTAGCATATTTTACTATCTCTTTTTGTGCTTTATATATTTCAATGAATTCTGTCACTTGACTGGTTTCTTGATTTTTTGAATTTATTTTTATTAGTGTATTATAGTTATAGATAATATTGGGGTTCATTTGGACATAATCATACAAACATGGAATATAATTTGCTCCACTTCAGTCTCTAGTACTTCCTTTTCTATTCCCATTCCCTTTCTCCTACTCTATTGGTCTTATTTCTATTTACTTATGGTTTTTAAAATTAATGCTTTATAGATATACATAAAGGTGAAATTCATTGTGGTATATTCACGTATGTACATAGTATAGTTTGTTCAGTTTCACTCCACCATTCCTGTCTTTTCCTGTCTTCCTGCTCCCCCAATCTCTTTCCTCTGTTCCACTGATCTTTCTTCTATTTTCATGGGACTCCCCCACCCCAACTTTGATCTAGTTTACGCATACAAGAGAAAATATTTGATCCTTGACTTTCTGAGTCTGGCTTATTTCACTTAGCACAACATTTTCCTTTCCATCCATTTACCAGCAAATCCTGTAATTTCATTCTTATTTTATAACTGAGTAAAACTCCATTGTGTATATATACCACATTTTCTCTAACCATTCATCTACTGATGAATTGTTTTGTGCACTTATATTTAAAGCGCCCTTCCTCATCTGTACTCACATGTTTATTGAAGCACTGTCCTTAATTGCAAAGATGTGAAATCAACCTAGGTGTCCACTGACAGGTGAATGGATAAAGAAAATGTGGTATATATACACAATGGAATATTATTCATTTGTATAAATAAAATTCTGTCATTTGCAGCAACACAGATACAAATGGAGGATGTTATGTTAAGTAAAATAAGTCAGGCACAGAAAGAGAAATACTGCATTTTTTCACTTATATGTGGAAGCAAAAAAGTTGATATCAAAAGATAGAAAATAGAATATTGTAATAGAATATTGGTTACCAGAGCCTGGTAAAGGTTTGTGAGTGGGAAGGGTACAGTCGGATAGGAGGAATGACTTCTAATGCTCTCTAGAACAGAAGGATAATTATACTTGACAACAACTAATAGAATATTTCAAAATAGAATGAAAGAAATAATATATGCCTGATCTGATCATTAAACATTGTATACAGGTACTGAAATGTTACACTGTTGTACGGTCTCAATTAGAAATAAAAATAAAGTATAAAGTGCATCTCTTTTAAATAGGATATTAAAATAACCCTAGTCTGATGAGCTTATTCCATTGGTATTTAATGTAATCATATGTATTTGGATTGCTTGCTATTTGTTTTCTACTTTTCCCACCTAATTTCTTTTTTTTTTTTTTTTTTTTGAGTTTAAATGCACTTTATTTTTAGACAACCTACATGACATGTTTTCTTAAAAAACAATGCCTCCACTCCAAATAAATCACGGTCAAAATAAATGTGCTCAAGATGACATCAGTTCCATTTGTCTTAAGTCCTGGTGTTGTGTGGATGACAAGCAGCAGCCAGTTATGATGACAGATGATAGGTCCAAAGTAACTGCCAAATTTGTTAACATTTCTCCATTTCTAAACCATCCTTAAAGAAAATCATATATGGGGTCACACCATCCTCACGGTAGTCCAGGAGAGCGACCATGCCATCTGGATTCATGTTTTCACCAATAAAGAACTGGTAATTTTTAAAATTAGCAAGGATGTGCTTGATTTGTTCTGCAGCCCCTGTCATAAAAGGTTTTACTCTCTCTGGTCTCTGTTCTTCAAGTTTGCCTTTGATTGATTTCATGTAATCTTTGATGTACTTCTTGTATGCTTCTTTTGTGAAGCTGGTTTCCTGCAAGTGATGGTTCATGACAATATCAACACCAGTGATTACTGTGCTTTCGGTACCTTCGCCCTCGGGTCCTTCAGCGGAGGCATTTCCACCAATGAGCGAGTCATCAATGTTACCCTCGGTCCTACTGACCATCTTGCCCTCCACCTCCAGGCAGAGCCCGTCCGCGATCTCCCGGATCTTGTAAATGTCGGAGAACATCTCATCATCTGTTCGGGGACAGGGAATCACTCATCACGGTGCGCCGGCACCGAGGCCTGGAGCCGGCTCCGCCATTTCCCGCGCCGGGCAGGCGCACGCGGCCCCCTGCCCCGCCCCCCCCACCTAATTTCTTTTACTCTTTTTCCTTGTCTCCTTTTGGAAACTCTCCAAATGTCTATCATTAAAGGACTGGTGGAATAGACTCTGCTGCATCCAAATAGTTGAGTAATTTGCAGCTAAAAGAAGTGAGAAATACCTCTGTGATCTTTAGGATATATTTTATGAGGAAAAATCAAGGTAGAGAAATGTCTATACAGTATGCTATATTTTATCTAAGAGTATAGGGGATATAAGTATATGTGTATATATTTCTTTGTGTTGAAAAGAAAATAAATCATAAAATTAAAACAATGGTTAAGTATGGATGTGGAAGGGAACTGGGTTAAGAAATGGTTGAGTCCAGGTCCAGGGCAGGAAGTGTGCAAGATGAACCTGGTATACCCCATCATTTCAGAAAAAGAAGCAGTAAAGACAACTAGGGTTATGTCAAAGGGTTCAGGAACCAACCTAAAGGAAAAAAAAAAAAAACTTCCACAGGTCAAAGATAAAATGGTTTAAATATCAGTAATAATAATAACTACAATGACTTTGAAATACATGTCAGGTGAACCAATGACACTTAACAAGCAAGAGAACAAACAACTAAACAAGGGAACAAACAACTAAATTAACAAAAGCCTCATTGGTCAGTTTTGGAGTATCCTAGGGAACAAAACGGTTAAAGAACAAATCAAATACTTATAATATTCTCATGTAAATTGTTCTCTAGAGTAATCAACGAATTGATGAAGGAAGTTTCTTTGTAGGAATAATAAGTTTCTTTGTAAGTAGCTGCTGTTTATAAATGAAGGAGTGATAGGTTTTTGCAATGCCTAATGAACTAAATGTAATGATTATTAATATTATCAATTTTTGCTTACATCACAAAAAGAGAAATTCAGACATCATGTGCCTTTGGATAGAGCACAAATATCTTATGAAATATTTTTGCCAAAAATTTGAACTGGATCAAGTTTATTGTGCTATTACTTAATAGCAAACACATGGGGCAAATCAGCATGTAAAATAGAGCCCAGGTTAATCATCAAGGTCTTTGTTGCTGGAAGCTCACTGGGACAAACAACCATCACCTCAATCCAAGGGTCCTCAAGACAAATATTGAAAGAAATGTCAGAATTTACAGAGTGAAGAAAGAGACCTAAGTGACATACCAATTATTTTCAGGGTGTGGAACATATTTGGATTCTGATTCAAATAAACTGAAAAAAGGCCAAAATTTTTATCAATCATGGAAATCTCACTTGATAGTCAATAACATTGTGATTATTTTTAGTTTTATTATTGTGAAATAAGTTACAATATTCTGTCTCTATCCTTAGAATTTGGTACCGAAATGTTTATATATGAAGTAATATGATACAGCTATGTGCGTCAAAATAACGGGTGGAAAGCTGGGTGTGGTGGCACAACTATAGTCCTAGCTACTGGAGAAGCTGAGGTCAGATGATCACTTGAGACCAAGAGTAAACCAGCTATGGCAATATAGAGAGATATGTCTCGAAAAATTAAAAAAGAGATAATAAACAGGGCGGGTGGCGGTGGTGGTGTGACGGAGTAGAGGTTAGGCCATCAGAGAACTTTTAAACAGGCCCGTGAGGATTCACTTAGAGACAATAAGGAGGCTGCTGCAATCCTCAGGTAGTGGGGCAGAGATGATGATAGTTGCTAAAATGGGGGCCAGGGCGGTTACTTCGAGAAACCACACAGTGGTTTCAGTCCCTTGAAAGCAGAGCTCCTTAATGTAACAAGCTGATGTCCACGTGTGCACCTAGGGCCACGTGTGGGCCTTTCGCTTTCTTTAGCTCCAGATCTCCTCCTTCCAGGAAGATCTTATACAAAGTATACCTCTCATTTAAAGACGTAGTCAACATTAAATAAACCCGTTCACCCCTACCACATCACGGTCAGCAGGTCCAGGAGGGTTGGTCACCAAGGCTGGAAAAGCCAGCGTTCACCTGCCGCCCCTCCTCTCAGCACCAGGGGGCGCGCGCAGATGCTCCAGAACAGCCTCCCCGAGAGGCCCGAGCGCCGTGTGGGGCGGGGCCACGGCGACGCGGCGGTGCGCCTGCGCAGTGGAGGCTGCAGCCCCTTTCCCAGGAACGCAGGCGCTGCGGCCCCTCTCAGCGCCCCAGAAACCCCTTCGAGGCGGAAGCTGGGATTCTCCCGTTGTTTCTCTCTGGGTCGGGGAGCTGTCATTAGTTCTGAAGGGTATGGAGTCATAGTTCAGGGAGGGGCAGCTCTCGTAATGGGTGTGTGTGTGTGTGCGCATTTTGAACCAGCTTTAGGGCTATAGGAGGTGAGATTGGTCCCTTGGCTGTCACGTTTCAGTGGGTCTCTGGGGCTGGGAGCGTCACCTCTATGAATAGCGAACTCGCAGCCCGCAGGAGACTGGAGGGTTGGGCATTATTGGTAAGGAGTGGGCGAGGGGGTGTACAAAAAGGAGGTTCATTGTTAAGAATGAAAAGGGTCTCATTCCCGAGAAGCTGCGCATCTTTACTGACTTGTTTGGGGGATTGAAGTCAGAGGAAAAGTATGCCCGAGTTACATGGCATATTAGGAACAAAGTGCTAACGAATCCATGATTCCTTTTGCAAGACTTTGGCAAAACAGGCAAACAAAAGCCATTTCAGAAAAGGAAGACCACCACTCCCCTTGAATCCATTCAGATACCCCTCTCAAATAATTCACATTCTCTAAATGCTGCTTTCCTTCGCTTGATTGGAGATGAACGGTATAGGCGCACAGTCATGGAAAGGTTGGAAGAGGGTGGCATTGCGTGTCCAGCGCTCTCGAGGCTGCATGTTGCACTTGCTACTGAACAGAGATTAATCATTCTCTCTCTCTCTCTCTTTTTGTAGTTGTAGATGGACAGAATGCCTTTATTGTATTTATTTTTATGTGGTGCTTAGAATCGAACCCAGTGCCTCACGTATGCTAGGCAAGCGCTCTGCCACTGAGCTACAGCCCAGAGATTAATCATTCTTAATCTGGACTTTTGGCGATGTGCCTTTGTACATTTTTACTTCCACGTGTCAAGGCTTTCCTGGTTGACTTTTTCCGACTCTCTCCCTTCCCCTCCTCAGCCCAGGAATGCTGTTCTTTTAATTATTTTGCTTTGTGTCTGGCTTAGCCAGTAGACCTAAATCCCCACCTTATTGTGTAGACAATTGGTGAACTTCTCTATAAAGGAACAGAGAGTGAATTTTTTTAGGCTGTAGGCTGCCATAGGCAATATTTAAACAAATAGATGTGACAGTGATCCTACAAAACATCACTGACACTGAAATTTGAATTTAAAATAATTTTAATGTGTCATGAAATATTTTTAGTTTTTTTCAACCATTTAAAAATGTGCAAATTATTTTTAGCTTGGACTGCTAGCTAGCAGTAGTTTGCCAACACTTGGTAGAGAAACAGAACAGTGTTCACCTAGAATTCAGGGAGAGAGGTGTTGGCCAAAATTACCAATAAAATAGTTTATGAAAAAAAGTGAATCAAAATAATTTGTGGCCCACTTTTCTGGACCTGGGAGAGAATAGGTTTATTTCCAGGTTCTCATTTTGATTTCGCAACTTTGACATGTAATACATACTGCTCTGTGGGAATTCTGTCAAAGTAGGTCTCAGAGTCTGTGGTAAGTTTCCCTTCCCAGCTTTTTATAGTTCTGAGAGGCAGTGGAAGAAATCCTACCAGCCTTTTGCAGTGAGGTCTCAATCAGGTTTGGTCCTTTTTTTCTGATTTCTAGTTTTCATAAGTAACTTTTACTTCTTTAATTATATAATATTTTTCAAGTTAAATTTCATTCATTATTACTGTTGTAGGTACTAGAAGAGAGAAGGTACCTGGGTCAGTCCTTTTACATTCTAGAGTCCAGCACATACAGACTAAGCAAATGAATGTGAATGTGTGTGTATAAGTGCTTTGAAGCTATAATGCACTTAATATAATGCACTTAAATAAATGTTGTATTTAAGAAAAAATATGATTGATAGTTTTCTTTTGCTTAGAAAATGAGCAGTTATCTTTAAAGAATACTTTGTACTTCTTCCCTGAACAGCTGTGTTTGGCCAGCACCTTGCACAATGAAGGATTATTATTAGAATGAATTTTATTCAGTTAATACTTATCAAGTGTCTATTATGTATTTCTTGGTGCTGTTTTTGTTCTAAAGTGATCTTCTCCATGACCACTTTTTTTTTGGTTCCCAAAAGGCCATAATTACCATTCCAAGCATCCTTGATAACCTCTAGTATGAGTATTACTAGAATCCCCTTAGTTGCTTGGGTTTCCTAGGACCCTAGTATAATGGCTGGTGCTCAGAATGAATATAATACTTCAGGTATAGTTTTCAATCAGTGTCCAAACAGATGGGATCATTAATTTTCAACTTCTGGATGTAGATCTTATTTTGATATGGCTTAAGACTGTTCTTCAAGAATAGCCCTCTATTCTGTAGGCATCAATCCAGGCAACTTCATTGTAAAAATCAATCAGACTAAGATGATTATTGGTGAAGATGATGGCTTCGAACTTCCTGTCAAAGTTATGGGGAATTTAAAAAGAGGAGGTTTTCGGGTGAACACAATTCAGTTTTCAATTAAATTACTTATGGTTCTTATAAAAATGTTCCAGGTAATCATTGATTACATGGTTCTGAAACTTGGCAAAGATCTGGGTGAAAGACCAAAAATTGACAGAGGAAGATGCATTCTGAATTGGGCTAGTCTCATTTAAAGATTTGAATTGAAGAAACTATAGGAGAGAAGAAAAAAAAAAGTATGAATACTCTAATCTCATAAAAATACATAATTTTATAAAATTGTAGGTACATATTGCTTGTACTCAGAATTTCCACTTACTCTTATTTTACAAGAAAAACTCAGCTAAGTGCTGGAGCTATGGATTCCAAT